TAAATACATCATTTATTTTAAAAGTACATAAACACAGTTTTATGAATCTAAGGCTACCATGAACAGGAGGCAGCTACAGCTGGAGCGCAGGTACATCTTCAGATCCAACTCCCAATGAATACAGCAATATCAACAGCCAACATCTGCACGCAAGGTGCAGAAGTGTAGTATGAGTACAACCGATCCCATGTACTCAATAAGTAACAAACCTAACCTTAGGTTGAAAGTAGTGACGAGCTTGTACCAAGGTCGGGTCCCAACTTCAATAACCAACAATAGTTCATAACATTATAAAACAAGTAATACCAGAAGTAACTCAACAATAAAATGCTCACCAAACACAAAACATGATTTCTGAAAATAGTTTTTCTTTTCAAGTACATCAATGAAAAACCCAAATCATTTACCGGAGTTGCCAAAAATATGAATAAGTTTGAAAACAATAATTTTCCAAAAAATCCTTTCAATAATAAATAAGATGTTTTATTTTCTTTCCAGATAACCAGTGTAATACAAATGCATCACTATGCCCATCTGCTAACATGTGTGAGAAATCATGAATGATGTGATACCGTACAACATGAGAAAAATACATCTCTATGCATGTATGTCATGTGTGCATATCAATGCAATGTATCTCAGAGATGAATCATGTACTCACACTCTCAGAGTACTCAATCTCACTGTCTCACTTTCCACTCATTATGCTCAACCACTCGGTACTGTATATGGCCCATACAGCCCAGGGAAATCCATCCCGGAACATATACAACACTGACTATAAGTCACCCAGTACCGAGGAAAAAGGGCAATCCAACCCTGTGGAGAAATCCATCTCCAGGTAGTAAGTACTTCGGACAAATCCATGTCCAGGGAAATCCATCCCTCAATAGTATCATCCACGCTCACTGGGGGTGTAAAGACTCCGGAGGGGTTCCTTCAGCCCAAGCTCTATAAACTGCACGGACAACTTATGTGCTATAGTAAAGCCTATAAGGCCTGCTGCAGGCGGACATCCCCGATCCACATAATAATATCCTCACAGTCAGTCTCTCGGCCTCCCTCAATCATCAATATCTCCAGTCTCTCTCTCATGGGCTCACAATGTCATGAAAATAGCACGAAAATGATGATATGATGTATCAATAAATAACAGACTCAGATATGATATGCAATGAAATGAATATGACTGAGTATGAAATTTCCTTTTAAACAAATAATTCACAACAATATGAGCTATGTGGGTCTCAATAATACTGGCACAGAGCCTCACATGATTTTTAATATGATTCTCAACTCAATTTCTTTAACACATAAAACTGCATAGAAAATGCCAAGATTATTTGACTACAAAATTTTACGGAACAATTACGTCACAATTTCTATGGTGCACGCCTACACGTCCGTCACCTAGCATGTGCGTCACCTCCAAACAATTCATATAATACGTATATTCAGGGTTCATACCCTCAGCTCTAAGATTAGAAGAGTTACTTACCTCGAACAAGACGAATCCAAAGTCGAGCAAGCTAAACAATGCTCCAGAATTCCCATTCTGCGTGTATCAACTTCTGAATGGCTCGAATCCAAATTTGTGTGGAAAAATCCCTCTCCAAAATCATCCAAACTGAGCTCCAAAACTCGAAAATGGTGAAAAATCACGAACCCTCGAACTTAAAGGGTTTTGTCCAGTCAATCCGCACCTGCGCGCAAGAGGTCACATATGCGACCTTCGCTTCTGCGGGAAAATCTCGCTTCTACGAGAACAACATGGCCAGCCATGATGGCTTCTGCGATGCCTAGGACCGCACCTGCGGTCGCGCTTCTGCACTCAATGGTCCGCACCTACGGATTTGCCTCTCGCTCAACTCCGCATCTGCGGAGCCTCGCTCGCACCCGCGGGCTCGCAGATGCGGTTAACTCCCTCGCACCCGCGTTTTGCCCAGCCCAGCCCAGCTCCGCTTTTGCATAAAACGAGCCGCATTTGCGGCACTGCAGTCTCTCTCTCATGGGCTCACAATGTTATGAAAATAGACCGAAAATGATGATATGATGTATCAATAAATAACAGAGACTGAGATATGATATGCAATAAAATGAATATGACTGAGTATGAAATTTCATTTTAAACAAATAATTCACAACAATATGAGCTATGTGGGTCTCAATAATACTGGCACAGAGCCTCACATGATTTTTAATATGACTCTCCACTCAATTTCTTTAACACATAAAACTGCATGGAAAATGCCAAGATTATTTGACTACAAAATTCTACGGAACAATTACGTCACAATTTCTATGGTGCACGCCCACACGTCCGTCACCTAGCATGTGCGTCACCTCCAAACAATTCACATAATACGTATATTCAGGGTTCATACCCTTAGTTCCAAGATTAGAAGAGTTACTTACCTCGAACAAGACGAATCCAAAGTCGAGCAAGCTAAACAATGCTTCAGAATTCCCATTCTGCGTGTATCAACTTTTGAATGGCTCGAATCCAAAGTTGTGTGGAAAAATTCCTCTCCAAAATCACCCAAACCGAGCTCCAAAACTCGAAAATGGTGAAAAATCACGAACCCACGAACTTAAAGGGTTCTGTCCAGTCAATCCGCACCTGCGGGCAAGAGGTCGCATCTGCGACCTTCGCTTCTGTGGGAAAATCTCGCTTCTACGAGAACAGTTTGGCCAGCCATGATGGCTTCTGCGATGCCTAGGACCGCACCTGCGGTCGCGCTTCTGCACTCAATGGTCCGCACATGCGGTCGCGCTTCTGCACTCAATGGTCCGCACCTGCGGATTTGCCTCTCGCTCAACTCCGCATCTGCGGAGCCTCGCTCGCACCCGCGGGCTCGCAGATGCGGTTAACTCCCTCGCACCTGCGTTTTGCCCAGACTAGCTCCGTTTTTGCATAAAACGAGCCGCATTTGCGGCACTGCACCTACGGCCAATTCCTCGCAGGTGCGATCACACCAGAATACAGAAATTTTCCAGATTTCTTCTAAGTCCGAATTTGATTCGTTAACCATGCGAAACTCACCCGAGCCCCTCAGGACCCCGTCCGAACATACCCAACAAGTTTCATAACATAATACACACCTACTTGAGGCTTCAAATCATATTAAACAACATCAAAACGATGAATCACAACTCAAATCAAAATCTATGAACTTTGAACTTTTAAATTCTATATCTTGTGCCGAAACACATCAAATCAATCCGGAATGACTTCAAATTTTGCACACAAGTCATAAATGACATAACGAAGCTATTCAAATTTTCAGAATCGGATTTCGACCCCGATATCAAAAAAGTCAACTCCCCGGTCAAACTTTTCAAAAATTCGACTTTCGCCATTTCAAACCTAATTCCACTACGGACCTCCAAATAATATTCTAGACATGCTCATAAGTCCAAAATCACCATACGGGGCTATTGAAATCATCAAAATTCGAATCCGAGGTCATTTTCACATAAATCGACATCCGGTCGACTTTTCCAACTTAAGCTTTCCATTATGAGGGAACAGGGTTGCAATATTCGAAACGACCGGTCGGGTCGTTACACAAACGCCCCGAAAAATCTCGTAACCACAATATAACACAGAGGAGGCAATAAATAGGGGATCGAGGCTAAAATACTCAAAATGATCGATCGGATCGTCACATTATGTTTCCTTCAATAGTTATTGTGATCTTTTAACAAATGACATGTGTATTAACAGAGTGCTTCGCTAATAGGTTTGAGAGAGAATATGCCTGCCAAAGAAAAAGTCTTATATTGAGCATCCATTCTAAGGATTTTGCTTGTATAAATACGCTAGCAAATAATAGAATTAGTTTAAGTTTGAGCCATAATTGACTATTGTTGTGGACAAATAAGCTGAAACACTCAGTTTCTACCTGTCCATATTCACTGACTGTGTCGAGACCAACGATGCCAAGGTCTTAGTACAGTCCTCCGTAATATCAAATTGAGTGTGAAGTACAACACCGAAGATAATTGACCATATCTTGCTCTAGAGAACTATAGATAGCGACCACACATATCTTGTTCTTCCCTCATCCGCCCCAACCCAACCTAACAAATCATGTTTGAAGACCGTAGTGTTGAGTACGTTGACATGTGAACACAAGATTGGTCTTATTTAACTAACTCAATAAAGGACCATGACAATGAATTTAAAAGTACATACAACATTTATTTATTTATTTGGTCTTTTCCATTTAGCGTTTTACTAATTTGTAGAAAAGGTAAAAGAAAAATAAAATATTCCATATAAATACACGAGGCAAGACTCTTCCCTACACCAGACTTGATATCTAAAACATATGAGTTATATTTGATTCAGCTCCAATTAAGGATGCAGACGACAAAAGATATCCATTATGAGAAATTATAAAGCTTTTCTTAATGAAATTCGCAAACAAATTAGTTGCAAAATCATAAATAATGGAACCATTAAAAATTTCAAAAATAATTCTTCTCTACAGACGTATTATAAAAGAAGAATAATTAAGTAATGATAGCCTTAATAATTAACTCTTCCCAAAATATTAAAATGCTTAATATTTTTCATTCCCAAATCTATATTAACAAATGACTATCAAGATACTGACTTCAACTTAAAGATACTGCATTCATAAAATCACATATGAATTGGAAATTTCTTGCAGAATATTTTTTTTTTATTATACCTTCTCACCACTTAATTCAGATATAAGTACTCGTCTTCACTTGAACTTTTTTTTACTTCTTCTTACCATAGACAATAAATTTGCGTCAAAAAAATAACCGAGACAAAAAAATATTACAACAATCGTAGTATTTGATTTCAAGTAATATGAGGGTTACCATCTCTATGAATCCTCTGATTCTTCTTTCCAATAGTAATTAAATTCAAGGGCCTTTGAGCTTAAATCTATATTTGTTGCCACGAACGATGATATTGAATCCAACTAGCACGAACTTTGAATTGAACTCGTACTCCTTGAACCTTGATTTGTTCTTCGTTCTTGAGTTTGAACTTGATTTCTTGAACTCCAACTTGATTGTTTGAAGCTTGAAACTTGTAAAGAAATTTGAGGTGTTTGATTCATGGGCTCTCTTTTCCTTCTTGTTATAACTTCTAGTATTTGTCCCTTGAGACAATTTCCGCTCATTTTCAAAAGTACGAGATTTGGAAACACTGAACTTATATTTGCTTGAAGTTGCCCACTTAATCGATTCTCTGATACACTGATGTACTTGACACTAGGTTGGGCATGTAAAGGCAGGTTGAAGGATCCAATGAAAGCATTACCACAAAGGGACAATCCTATAAGTTGTGTATTATTTTGGAAAAGCCAATTCGGGAAACTTCCTCTTAAATGGTTCAGTGAAAAAACAAGGAAACTCAACTGATTTTGGTAGTGAAGAAAATCTAGGCAGCGTTTGAAGGTGAGTGCAATTCGACATGGAAAAGATTTCCAGTTGGAACATTGGAACCCAAGCACGACTTTCAGTTTCCGGAACACCGATATTTCCATCAGTATATACCTCTATAAGGCTAGAATGGTTAGCAAAGGCCTCAAAGGAAACTGGGACTTCCAAGTTGTTATTCAAAATGTTTAGAGATACGAGAGATGTGAGTTTAGAAAGTGGAGAAGATGCAATATTTCCAGTGAACCGATTGTTAGAGATATCGAGACTTAGAAGAAATGTTAAGTTTGCAAGACAAGAGGGAAGCATTCCATCAAAGTTATTACTACCGACTCTGAGCTCTTGGAGGTTTTTAAAATGGCACCAATCNAATCTGAGCATTCCATCAAAGTTATTACTACCGACTCTGAGCTCTTGGAGGTTTTTAAAATGGCACCAATCTGCAGAAGAGCAATCGACGAATATAAATCAAAGAATTATGAAATCAGACTAATTAAACTAATGCAGAGAACCATAATCAGGTGCAGAGTTTTCTCTAGCAAAATTTTATTAGTGAAATATCCAAACAGAAGAGTAAAAGAAGGAGAGTCTTGGCGTAACTGGTAAAGTTATTGTCACGTGACCAGAAGGTCACAAGTTCAAGCCATGAAAACAGCCTCTTGTAAAAATATAGTTAAAGGTTGGACCCTTGTGGTCCGGTCCTTCTCCGACTCCGTGCATAACGGGAGCTTAGTGCACCGGGCTACCCTTTATCCAAATAGAAGAGTAAAGCTCAGATGATGAGAAAACTTGAAACCAACATACCGTAATCAAATGATCCAAAAGTATGTAAATGATTCCCGGATATATCCAGATACTTCAATCTAGTGAAATCATTTAAATCTGCTTAAATGAACAACGATGTCACTATATATTAACAACTACATTTGTACTTTACATAGCACAAAACATATATATAATTGTTTCAGATGAAGATCGAGAAGCTCACTTAAGATTGATTGCAGATCGCTGTGATTTGTGAGAGTAGAACCTAAGTCAAGGACTTCCAAGTTGCTCAAATTTGTGAGTTTCTCAAAGCCTGTAATGTAATTAGCTTTGAGAAGCATACAAAGATACATTCAACAACAACAACAAAAATATGGACTTATAGATATATTCAACAACAAAAAAAAAAGAAATGTAGTCTGGTGCACTAAGCTCCCGCTATACGTGGGGTTCGGGAAAGGGCCGGACCACAAGGGTCTATTATACATAACTTTACCTTGAATTTCTGCAAGAAACTGTTTTCACGGCTCGAAAGCAATTTTACCAGTTATGCCAATTTTGTCGGTGCATGCTATGTGTGGCGCCCAAAGAAGGGGCTGGTCCACAAGGTGTGTATATATATATATATTCAACAACTTTCGGGAAAACAAATTACTATAACTCTCAAGCACTTAAATTAAAGTAATCAAGAATAGTGAATTGAGAAAGAAATTAGGTAAAAACTGTTGAAATTGTCAAAAGTCCCACATCGGTGGATGACAATTTTGAATGAGAATTTCACCCTATAAAAGGAGGTCTAATGTTTAGGATTTAAACACCTCTCATTTGCCTTTTTTATCTTCTTAAGACATTTGTATCTTCTCTCTTTAGTATTATTTCACTTGTAATTTTGGAGTGGAATAAAATATTGATTGTGTCTGAGGAAGTAGGCAAAATTGGCCGAACCTCGTAAATTCTGGTGTTCTTTTATTGTTGTCTTATTGTCTTGTTTATTATTTAGTGGTTGTCATAATTTTTGGTATAGTAGTTGTGACTCATTCACACTATATACATTTGGCTTCCGCAACAATTGGTATCAGAGCCAAGGTACTGTCTAAGTATGCTCTGTGGTTGCAGCATAGTCTGATCTTCCACATCAGAAAAGATCTATCTTGGTAACTGAGTCAAGGTTCTCTCTGAGTATGATCTGTGGTTGCAGCTTAGTCTGATCTTCCATACCAAAAAGGAATTAATCTTGATTTGTGTCGTCAGCTACTAAATAATATTTGTGTCAAAATGAGAGACGATAAACAAGAAGAATCTACATCAACTGTCAATAATACGTCATCGTTGGCATCTTCGCTTATAACAAGAATTGTGTCAAATGCGAAATT